AAAAAAAAAAAAAAAAAAAAAAAAAGATGTGAAATTTCTCTATACTTTTTACCCAGATTCACCAATTTTTTTTTCTTCCTCTTTGGTAGTGCTGGGGGTTGAACCCAAGCCTTTGTGCACTCTGGGCAAGTGTTTTGACACTAAACTGCATCCTAAGCACCAATTTTTAATATTTTGCTGCATCTACTTTTTTGTTCTGGTTACATGTGCACATGAACACACATTACCTTTTTTTGACTATTTAAAAGTAAGTTGCCTATCATTTTTCTTTTCTTAGTTACTGTAAATCCTAAGGAAAACAATATCCTACCTACAGTTATCAAAATCAGGAAATTCAAATTAGTTTATTTTTCTTCTTCTTTTGGTTTTTTGAGACAGGGTATGGCTATGTAGTTCAGGCTGGTCTTGAACTCACTATGTAGCCACAGTGACCTCATACTCAAAAGCCTCCTAAGTGCTGCAATTATAGGCATGTGCCACCATACTTGGAGGAATTAATATTTCAATTTTACCATTTGTTTCATTAATATCCTTTATAGCTTTTCCTCTTTCAAGTCTAGTAGAATTTAGTTTTCGTGTCTCCTATTTCTTGACTTCTCTATTTTTCATAGCATTTAAAAAATAATATTAATATTTTCAATAATACCGATAACTTATTTTATAGAATATTTTTCAATTTAGCTTTCTCTCCTGTTGCTTCATTATTAAGTTCAAACTATGCACCCACAGCCAAAACGATACATGGGTGATTTTGTGTTGTTCTCAGATGTCACATACAATTGCATGGAGGCTTACAAATGCATCTTTCTCTTATTGGAAGGTGATCCTTCCTCAGTTCTTCTGTGTTGGGGATCAAGCCCAGGGCTTGTGCAAGCTGGGCAAACACTCTGCTATTGAGCAATATCTTCGACACTGAATATGATAATTTTGCTCAATTTGTAAAGGTAGCCTGCTACATGTAGTCTCTACTGCACAATTTCTGTTTTTTTCTTTGCAGCTCATAAACAGTCTGGAGCAAGGCACTTTGAAAACGTTCAGCTACTTTGTTCTCAAACTCCTCCCCAGATTTCTCAGTCATGATTCTTGCCTGAACTAGTCTTGACTCTGATGGGTACAAAATGATAACTTCTAACTGCAGAACTCTTTCTGCCATTGCCAGCCCACATTTTACTCTAAGGAAGAGCTATCTTTTCCTTATTTACTTAATCTGTTTATCCATTATTGATGTGAACTCATGGATTATTTTTTGTTTTATTTTCAATAGAATTTTTTAGAAGTTTTAGATTTACATAAAAAAATTGATCAGAAAGTATAGAGTTCTTATGAACCCCTTTTCATCTTCCCGTTTCCTCCATTGACGTGTTAATGTGGTGCATTTGTTACAGTTAATGAACTAGTTTTGTTATAATTAACTAAAATCCATAATTTACATTAAAATAATTTTTGTGTTGTACATTCTATGGATTTGACAAATATGTAATAATATGTATCCATATCAATTTAACAGGATCATATAGAAGAGTTCACTGCTCTAAAATCTACTGGGCTGCACAGTACATAGATGATGCCCCATACCCTCTGGCCCAACTCCCTCAGTTTAGTCTCTGCCAACCACTGATCTTTCTGTCTACATAGTCATATTTTTCCTAAAATGTCATAGAGATGTAATCATATAATTTGTAACTGTGGCAGAGTGGCTTGTCTTACTCAGCAATATGAACTTAAGGTTCTGGTGTGTCTTTTCATGACATGACTTGACAGCTCCTTTCTTGGATAGCTGATATTCTGTGTGGATGTTCTGGAGTTTATTAATCCATTCTCCTATTAAAAGATATATAGGGCTGGGGATTTAACTCAGTGATTTTGCTGCCTGTCTTGCAAGTGCAAGGACCCAAATTTTCTCTCTAGTACCAAAAAAGAAGTGTGTGTGTGTGTGTGTGTGTGTGTGTGTGTGTGTATATATATATTATATGTTGCTTCCAGGTTTTGACATTTATGAATAAAACTTTATGTGTACATTTTTGTGGATACAGAAAGGTGGTTTTTTTTTTTGTTGTTTTTTTTTTGGTACCAGGTATTGAACTAGGGTCCTTGCTCTTGTGAGGCAAACAGCGGGACCACTGAGCCAAATCCCTGGCCCGGAAAGTTTTAACATGCATAGATAAATACCTAGGAGCGCAGTTGCTGTATGGTATGATTTAGTTTTGTAAGAAAGTGCCAAACTGTCTCCATGGTGGCTGCACCTTTTGCATTTTCACCAGCAGAGAATGAGAGTTCCTGTTGCTCCACATCCTTGTTAGCTTTCGATGTCAGTGCTTTGTATTTTAGTCATTGTATTAGGCGAGTTCCCACTATTAACAGGTTCATTTTCAGTTTTTTGAGATATTTCCCTTATTTTTATTTTATCCCATTTCCCCCCTTTAATCCCCTCCCCTTCCTATGTGCGAAAGCTTAGCCATTTTTTTCCTTCTATTTTCATTTCTTGTCCCTTCCTTTCTCCCTCCCTCCTCCCTTGTTCCCCTTCTCATTTGAACACTTTCTTTCCACTTCTCAACATACATTATATATTTTTGTCCTTGTTTCCACTTTTAGTTTCTCACACCAGAGAAACAATGCAGTATTTATTTACTTATTTTTATTTATTTATTTTGGTACCGAGGATTAAACTTTGGACCTTGTGCTTTAGAGGCAGGTGGTGGCGCTACTGAGCTAAATCCCCGGCCCACACGATGTGGTATTTAAACATGTGTGTCCCATTTATTTCACTTAAGAGTATGATCTCAAAGGTCCATTCATTTAGCTAAAATGTCTGAAGCGCTCCTTTTTGTTTTGTTTTATTTTGGTTACTAGGGATCGAAATCAAGTCCTTGCACTTGCAAGGCAGTGCCTGAACCACTGAGTTAAATTCCTGGCCCAATCCCATACTTCTTTATGGCAGAGTAGTACTCCACTGTATTAAAAATCCCACATCTTTATCTGTTGATGGGGATTTGGGCTCTTTCCAAGATTCTGCTGTTACAAACTGGTGCTGCTATAAACATGGATGTGCATATATCACTGTGGTATGATGCTTTTAATTCTTTTGGGAAGATACCAAGAAGAGGTATAGCTGAGTTAAGTGGAATCTTTAGTTTTAGTTTCTTGAGAAATTTCTACACTGATTTCCACAGTAGATGCACCAGTCTACACTCCCACCAGCAGTGAAAAAAAAAAGTATTTCTTTTTCCCCACAGCCCCTCCACCATTTTTTATTGGTTGATTTCTTGATAGCCAACATTCTTTCTGGAGTGAGATGGAATCTCATCATTGTTTTAATTTGCATCTCTCAAATGACCAGTGATATTGAGCATTTTTTCATGTATTTATTTTCCATTTTTAATTCATCTGAGAAGTGTCTTTATTGCAGATGTCCATTTTTGCATTGAGTCTTTAAATTTGGGGGATATGATTTTTTTTTTTTAATTCTTTATATATTCTAGCTAATAGTCCTTTAAGGGTTGGGGATTTAGCTCAGTGGTTTGGCCACCTGCCTCGCAAGCTCAAGGACCCAAGTTCGATCCCCAGTTCCCCCTCCCCCAAAAAGAAAGAATGCAATAAGATAGTAGTCCTTTATCTGAATAGCTGGTAAAATTCTTTTCCCACTTTGAGGGCTCTCTCTTCACCCTGTTGGTGGTTTCTCTTGCTGTGCAACCTTATTTGTATTTGTGTGTGACAGGATATTCAGCTAGTATTTTGTAATATTTGTTTTGAACCTCATAAATGTTATTAAATTGTATTAGCGAGTTCTTTTTTAGCAAATTAACTTTTGTTCTGAGTGCTTTTTTGATGCCATTATAGTACTTTTGGAGATTTTTACTGACTTGCTCTTCCCCTTTTGTGTCATAATACTTTTTTTTCCAGTCAGCTATAATTACACCTTAGATAAACTTCATTGGGTACAGTATTGCCACTGCCCAAAGATAGATACTTTTTTTGAATTTAAGATGAGTCCTCACTAAATTGTGTATGTTGGTCTCAAACTTGTGAGCTCAAGAGATCCTTTTCCTTCAGCCTTCCAAGTAGATTGGACTATAGGGATGTACCACCTTGCCCATATGTGATACTTTTTATTGATCATAGGTTATTGTTTTCTTTTGATAGACTGCAGAAACGCTGAACACATCTTTACTGGCTCTGTAGCTTCTTACTGTTTGATTATCAATATTTCCGTTATTCGGGAGGAGACACTTCATATGATTATCTTGTCAGAAATCTTCTCTCAGAGTTTGAAAATATGTGTAAAGGAATATAATTGCTTCCATCTAAAGGCTTATGAAAATTCAGTTTTTCCACAGTGAAGGCAAAATTATTATCCTGGTTTTTTCTCACTGTTCTTTCACTGGTTTTTCAGTAGAAAGTAGTATGCTCTTATACTCTGTTTAGTGTAATGGTTGATTTGTGAACTTGACTTGAGTTTGGTTAAAGTAGAAGGCCAGGGGTTGAGAATTTAAGAAAACAAAATGTTAGAAACGCTGTCCAGGAATTGTCACTTTTCCCTTTTTTTTTTGAGATAGGGTCTCACTATGTAGCCCAGGCTAGCCTTAAACTCATGGCAATCCTTCTGCCTCAGTTCTGGGATTACAGGTGTGCACTACGATGCTGGCAATTGTTCCATGTTGAACAGTGTGGAATGCGCGTTACAAATCATAGAAAGCTAGATTCAGTGTGATGTTTTTCAGAAGTTCAAAAATAAGCAAAACTGTATAATAAATTGCTTAGGAATGAATATATATGGTAAAATTCTAAAGATATGCAAGAGAGGGCCAGGAATATACCTCAGTGGCACAGCACCTGCCTAGCAAGCGCAAAGCCCTGAGTTTAATTCCCGGTACAGAAAAAAAAAAAAAAAAAAAAAAAAAAAAAAAAAAGTATGCAAGAATAGCTCAAAAGGAAAGTAGAAGAGCTGCATATTTATAATCTCTGATGAGGGTGGCACAGAAATAACAGGATAGAGGAATATATTCTTATGTTAGCTAGCTAAGTGGTTTTTATTTTTCTGCTTCATTAATTTTGATATGCTATACAGAAATTATTCTTTTTCAAAAATATAAAATACTTGGGAAAGAAAGTAATTAAAATTGGGTCTTTTGAAGACAGATCTGGGTTTAAGTCCCAACTCTGGTATAATTTTTGCTCTTGAGCAAGTTACTTGCTTACGCCTTTTGAATTTCATGTTTGTTTGGTTTTTTTTTTTTAGAATGGAAATTATAGGATTGTTTCAAGAATTGGCAGTAATGGGGCTGGACATGATGACACATGCCTCTAATGCCAGCACTCTGGGAAGCTGAGGCGGGAGGATCACAAGTTTAAGCCCACCTAGGGCAACTTAATGACAGCAAGATGCTGTCTCAAAATGAAAAAATAAAAAAAGGATTGGGGGTGTGGTTCAATGTGAAGTCCCTAGGTTCAATTTCTAGTACTGAAAAACAAAACAAAACAAAAAACAGCAGTAATGCATTTGAAGTGTTCACATATAGTGTTTACACAAAGCATGGCTTAGGCAATTATTAGCCATTAATATTGTAATAGCAGGAATGTGTAATATCAAACTTTAAAATCTTCTTTAGATTTCTTTTCCTAAACGTGTAGAGGTTTAGGACATAAATTTAGATATTTTAGGGACATCAGTGTTGAAGGCTTGGATGCAGTATTTAGAATGGAAACTAAATAGAGAATTGATTTGTTTTCTTGCTTATTTATAATTTAGGTGGGAGACCTACCAGATGCAGATATTAAGCCACCAGAAAATGTGCTGTTTGTGTGTAAATTGAATCCGGTGACTACAGATGAGGATTTGGAAATAATATTCTCAAGATTTGGCCCAATAAGAAGGTAATGACTAGGGGTGGGGCTTTATTTAGCTCAGTGATTCCACTGCTTGCTTTGCAAGCGCAGTATCTTGAGTTTGATCTCTGGTACCAAAAAAATAAAAAAGGTAATGACTAGAGTTAGTAAAGGAGAAATTTAGTAATATCCAGGGCGTAGTTAGTGGTTTTCTAATGACACTTTTTGTGAGTGTAAGGGGTTTAGGTAAATTTAATACTGCTGAAGTTTTACAGGTGTGTGGATAGTAGGGAAGGATAGATATACGTACACACTTGGATTAAATATTTGAATGATTCTCCCAGTCTCAACAAAAACATTTTTACCCTAAAACAGGAAATGAGTGAGATGATTTAAATCTAGTTCTGTAATATTTTAAGAGTATTCTTTAATATTTGAAATATTTATCTTAACTCCTAAAATTATCAGCAGTCTATGTAAAAATTAAATTTTTCCAAAGTTTTTCTTTTGGTTAATTTTATCTGCATTATTAATTAAAACAAAAGTCTATGATGCTAGTGTTTCTGTGAGAAAGGGGACTGTTTTGTAATTGATGAAAGTATATTATGTTTAGGATTTCCTTTCATTTCAAGTTTCTAAAGTGAGATGTATGGTGCATGGAAAAAGAGACAAGCTAATTGCTTTCAACTTCAGCTTACTGGCCCTTTCACTTGGTTATTATAGAGTAGGTAAGTTCTATGTAATAGCTATACTTATAGTGTTAAATTTAAGCTGGTTTTACATTAAAATTCCAAAGCATAGACCTACTAATCATTTATTTATGTACAAATATGGATACATATATTATTCTAAAGTAACATATCCTACAGTTCATCTATATTTGGACTAGAATTATGATTGAAAAAATTTTAGCAGTTTATTTTTATTAAAGGATTCTTTTAGTGCTTAGGGAATATAGGACTACAGGCCTAGGTAAGGCATTTAAAGTAGAATTTAGATAATTTAGTTATTGGATCGAAGAACTATTTTTTAAAGAGAAATTTGGGGAAATATAAATCTGTGAGTTTAACTTGGTCATTTAATAACTGACATTTTGTTCTTTGTTTTTTTTTTGTTGTTGTTGTTGTTCTTTGGTTTTGAAGAGTGAGAATGAATTTTTTTTTTATTGTAAATTGCTGTTTAAAACTTTCTTTTAGTTGTGAAGTTATCCGAGATTGGAAAACAGGAGAGTCACTCTGCTATGCTTTCATTGAATTTGAAAAGGTATGTCATAACCTGGATATTTTAGGTTTGGTGTTTTTGGCTTTTTAAATTAATTATTTTGTGTGTTTTTGTGTGTGTGGCCCTGGAATTTGAACCTGGGGCCTTGTGTTAGGCAAACACTACCTCTGAGCTATCTCCCCAACCCTCTTTTTTTTTTTTTTTTAAATTTTGAGATGGTCTCATTAAGTTGCCTAGGCTGGCCAGCCTTGAACTTGGCCAATCCTCTTCCAGCCTCAGCTTCCCAAGTAGCTGGGATTACAGGCATGTGCCACTATGCATTAATTAATTCAGTGCATATGATTAAACTCAGAGCCTTTGCACTGAGCTCCATCCCCAGCTCTTTTTAAATTTAGGTATAGAGTTTTGCTATTGTTGCTAAGTAATGCCTGTCTTTTGGGATTTTTATTTTGAAGAGAGGGTCTTACTAAGTTGCCTACATAGGTTTTGAACTTGTGATCTTCGTGCCCCAGTCTCCTGAGTAACTAGCATTACAAGCATGTGCTGCTGTGCCTGGCTATTTTGTTATATATGATATGTTTTTTGAGACAGGGTCTCACTATGTAGTTAAGACTCACCTGGAACTCACTATGTAGCCCACACTGGTCTTGAACTCACAGCAATCCTCCTGCCTCAGCCTCCCAAGTGCTGGAATTACAGGCGTGAGCCACCACACCCGGCCTTGTTATATATGATAAATGTGAAAAATTATAGAACTCTTGCTGTTTTTTAGGATTGCATTTTCTTTAGAAAATGAGCTTTCTTTTATTCACATAGGGAGTAAATTCAGACTCTGTTGCTTTTTTTTGTGATAGGTCTTGCTATGTAGTTCAGGCTGGCCTTTGCGCCTGTTGATTTTCATGTATGTACCTTTACTGTAGGTTCAGATGCAGTCTGCCTGAGTCTATCTTTAGAACTTTGCAAGTTTTAGGCAAAGTTCTTCACGATGATCTTTCATTGTTCCTTTTTTTGGAGACATTGTCTTGCTCTGTAGTCCAGGCTGCTGAACTTGAACTCACTGAGTAGCTCAAGCTAGCCTCGAACTCATGGTGATTCTCATTCTTCAGCCTCCTGAGTGCCGGATTACAGACCCAGCGATATTTCTTTGTTACTTAGGTAGAGCACTAATTGAGTAATAAGAGTAGATAAGTGTCTACGATGATCTAGGTCAGTGATGACAAACCTATGACGTGTGCTACAGTGGAAAGCAGAGCCTTCTCTGTTGACAAATGAGCCAAGTGTATGAGTTGTTTTTTCTAAACTAGAACTTCATTATTCAGGTTTAATTATAGTTTGGCACTTTGTGATAAATGAGAACACTGTTATTTTGTATCTAGCTTCTTTTGCTAGTGTTGTACTTGTAACACAAGTATTACTTCATCTAGCTTTTGTTAACATTTTTAATTTGTTAACACAGTATTTCATTGTGTGAATATAAAACAGTTTATATTTTCTTCTGCTGTTGATAAAAACTTGAGTCCTTTCTAATTTTTGGCTATTATGAATGTTGCAACTACAAACTGTTTATCTAATGTTTTTTATTATTTTTAATTTTTAAAATAAATGCTGTATAAGTATTTTTTGGGTGTATATATGTATTTTTGTGTGATAGATATATGTATACGTGTATATATCTAGGAGTGAATTATTGGGTCACAGGATAGGGCATTAATAGATAACCAGTCATTTTCTGAAGTAGTTATATTATTTTCACTTATCAGATCTTGGCCTCTATGTTTTTCCATATCTTTACCAATTCTTGGTTTTGGTCAGTCTTTTTTAATTTGATCCATTCTGGTAGAAGTGTAGTAGTATTTTATGGTTATTTCACTTTTCCTTGGTTCCATCCTTTTCCCTATGTTCATTACCATTTGCATACCTGTTTTTGAGATTTTTGTTTGTGTTTTGAGACAAATATCTTGCTATGTAGCCTAAGCTGTCCTCAAACTCATGAGGCTCCTGCTTTAGCCTCCTGAGTCCTGGGATTACAGGAATGCACAATATCTAGTTGGCTGTCCTATTTTAATGAAGTACCTACTAAAGATTTGTCCATTTTTCAATTTGCTAATCTGCCTTTTTGTTGATTTGTAAGAATTCTTGAATTTTTGAGGTGTTAGCTTTTTTTGGTTATATGTGCAAATATCTTTTGTGCTGTGGATTGTTATTTTTCTTTCCTAATGCTTTTAGTAAACATTAATATCAAATTTTAATTTACTTCAGTTTGTCAATATTTTTCTTCCTTTTTCATGGCCCGTTTATAAAAATCTTTGCCTACTTTAAAGTTACAAAGACAGTCTCTATTTTTTGGAAGCTTCGTTAGATTATTTCCAATGTGAACTGTGATTTGGTTTCTCTGTATTATGTGAATTATATTAAGTTGCATTTTTCTTGCATTGAATAGCCAAAGACCTGGTCTCATTTATTGAAAAGGTTGTCCTGTACCCCCACCTCTATGGTGTCCATATATGTGTAAAGCCTGGTTCGTGTCTGCCATCTTGGGGAGCCAGAAACAGACATATTGTAGTGTGAGTTCTTCAACTTTCTTCTTGAAGATTGTCTTGGCTGTTTTAGGGCTTTGCATTTCCATACACATTTTTGAATCAGTTTGTCAATTTTGAAGAGATTTTTAAACTATTAATATATAGATAAATTGTTTGCAAATACTATAGTGAAAAAATGATCTGAGAACTTTATCAGGAAATGGTGCAGTGATGGAATTACACTTATTCAGGTGTAATCAATCAGATTCCTCAAATGTAACATTGATTGTCTACCATAAGCCTGGTCTGTTGTCTTCATGGAGTTAATAACCCATTAACTTTATTGACCAGTTTCTGTTAATTCTTGACAAACATGGGTAAATAAATATGATTGTAATTAGTTCTTTTATCTGCTTCTCTTGCAATTGTTGTAGTAACTTGTGAGCAGATGAAAGAATAAATATCCAGGAATACAAAAGAAGTTTGATTAGTGCCATGTTGAAATGTGTTACTCTGGTCCTTAGATGTCAGAAACAGGCTTAGAATTTGTGAAGTTACTGATAGGAATGGTTCTGGTGTCGCTCAACCTTAGTTATCATAGGCTTACAATGCATCATCTAAAATTTTGGGGAATTGCTGTGTGCCTGATTTTAGAATTTTTCCCAGTTAGGAAAAGTACACTGTATGTTAATACACACACACACACACACACACACTCACTACATCTGTGGGTTATGTAGCAACCCTCTGGGCCAGCATTCTTTAGTGAATCACAGTATTTTAGAATGAAACAAATGGATATTCATAGTAAATTGATTAAAAAAATGGCCATAGATTTCTATTTGGCCAGATATTACTGCCAAATTGCTGTGGTGTTCTGTTCATATTTTTGTTTTGGTGCTAGGGTTTCTTCAGAACTTCATGCATGTAAGCACTTGCTGTACCACTGGTGTATTGCTCTAGCCTCTGCCAGATTACTTTTAACATCAGATTTATGAAAACAGCTTTTACTTTTTAAGATATGGTATTTTTGGGTTACGAATAAAAAAGATTGTAGATTTGTACTGTATCACAGTACACACAGTTGTTTAAGTATGTATTTCCACTGTAATCAGACTGCCTTAGTTCAAAATCATGGCTTTTTTTTTTTTTTTTTTTGGTACTGGGGATCGAACTCAGGTCCTTGCGCTTGTGAGGCAGATGATGGAACCACTGAGCTAAATTCCCAGCCCCAAAATCATGGCTTTAACCCATGCTAACTAACTGTGTGACATTGACAACTTCTGTACCTCAGTAAACTTTTGATTTCTCATTGGAGAAAGTGGGGATAATAATAAAGTACCTCATAAGACCGTTACTAGAGTTAATTGAGGTAATACAAAACATTTAACAACATCTGATGTGTAGTAAGTACCCAGTTCTTAATTTTAGTAACAACAGACTATGTGTTCTGTATTTGTTCTAACTACAGAAGCCTTCTCCATAAATATTTATCTTTAAGTTTTTATCATTATCAGGAAGAAGATTGTGAGAAAGCATTCTTCAAAATGGATAATGTACTTATAGATGACAGAAGAATACACGTGGATTTTAGCCAGTCTGTTGCAAAGGTTAAGTGGAAAGGAAAAGGTATGTTAGTTTGTCTTCTTTTATTTCTGCTCTGTGCATATGCTCTACCATGAGGTTACATCCCCAGTCCTTATTAGGTAACTTTTGAGTGAATTTCTTCATGTCTTTTCTGAAATAAAATGTCACCTATGTGAGTGTGGTACTTTTGATTTCACATATGTCATCATAAACAGCATCTATTTCTAATCTTAATCCCGAGATAATATATCTGTTTAATATATAATATTGTTTCACATTGGAAACAATGGATATACTATGTACCATTCACAGTACTTAGAGCCCTTACAATGTTACTGAATAATTTCAACACCTCTGTGAAATGATGCTATTTTTAATTTATAAATAAGTATTTTTGCATGGGTTGCAAAACAGTGAAGTGTCTTACTTAGGACCTCCCACTTGAGTAAAGATTTGAATTCAGAACCTTTCACTTTATCCATTACTCTTTCTTTTATAGTATAACTGCCTCATCTATGGTGAGACTCCTAATGTCAGGCACATGGCAAATCATTTGTTTGTTTTTATGGCACATCATTTTTTAGTGATAAAATGATGCCCCCCCTTTTTTACTGTTTCCAATTGTCTTGACTTCTGCAATAGTCTGTTTCATATTACATAAGACATTGTCTGCCTGCCATTTTTATTTTCAGAGTCTCTAGAATTGCCAAGTAGATCCATCATGTCTTTGCTGTTTATCCTTGTGTTTTTATTCTTGTTCTCCCCTTCCTTAAATCTCTGGCAATCAAAGAATATAGGATTCACAATCCACATCTCTTTCCTTGTACCTCCAGTTTGCTTTGCTTATACACAGACTCTTGGACCTTTCCATAGGAACCCTTTCCACAAGAAGCAGTAGGAAGTGTTAGTTGAGGGGTTAGGAAAGGCAGGCCAGGCAGTGAGACTTGGATGTGTGTGGAAACTGAATCCTCCTGTGGTAGGGAGACTGTGCTGAAGGGTAGAGAGGCTGCATGAATGCTCATCCTTTATGGCCCTGTTCCTGGAAGATAGCCAGATGTAACGGTGTAACGGTAGCCTTGGCTTCTGGAAAAGTTGCTCCCTTTTAGCACTTGGGAGGAATAAAGGTGCCTGTAAGCCAACATTTCAATGGAGGGACATTTTTCTTTGGTTACTAACCCTCTCACAACCTCTCCTCTCATGTATTTTTTAGTGAACTATACACATTCTAATATCTCTTGTCAGCCAGGTCCTCTGTAGAAATAGGTCAGGGGTCTTTGGAGCCTCACTTCTTCCAAATTTAGGTCTTTCAGATCCCATACTTAGGTCCAAAATCTTCACTTTTCATCTGGACTTAATTTTCTCATAGGCTTAGTGGCTATACTTATACGTGGTACCATTGGCATTTAATTTATTTGAAAATTTGATGTTGTAATATTCACATATATCATTAGGTGGCAGCAAATGGCAACCTAGCAAAATGAATATCTGATTTCTGTTCAAATAATAGTGGAGGATGAATTACTATGAGTTTTTTGTTCTCTTGCCCTTTTTCTTTTTCTTTTTGGTTCCAGGGATTGAACTCTGGACTTTGCATTTGTGAAGCAGACAATGGAGCCACTGAGCTAAATCCCCGGACCTCTCTTGTCCTTTTTTCTGTCTCACACTATATGCCATTTTTAAAAACAGCTCGTATCTTTTATAAAAGTTATTGTTCCTGATTAATTAGGTGATTTTTCTTACTAAACTTTTTCTTAATGAATAGGTGGGAAATACACAAAGAGTGATTTCAAGGAGTATGAAAAGGAGCAAGACAAATCATCTAATTTGGTTCTGAAAGATAAAGTAAAGCCGAAACAGGAGTATCCTTAACAAGAGTTTGTCCATGTGTTTTGACCATCCTCTCTGATGTGGAGTACTGTGTGCTATGTTATAAAATTGTCGTGAAGGCTATTGAAAACAAAACTCTTGAATCCAGATCATTTGTAAAGTAGTAATTTATTGTAATTGTTTTTCAGTGTTGTACATATACTTTGATTTTTCCTTATATTCTATATTATTGAGAAAGTTAAGTTTTAAAGAAATCATTTACCTTCCTACTGTTAGGTTAAATGTCTTCCTGCCTTTTATTTTCTGTGTATATAATTGTAATGTTTTAAATTCCTCATTATCAAAAATCTTTTTGCACTAAAGCATTCTCTTATCTGTTACCTTATCGAGGTAACAGACTCCTGAAATTCTTTGTTAGAAGATTAAGTTGCTTCTTTCTGTATAGTACATTGTCATTTTAGCAGAAATATTTATTTAGCTCCTGGTAAATTGCAAGAGTTGACTTTTAGAGGATTATAAAGAAATCTGTTGACCACTTAATTCAGGTTCTTTCAAGTTTTAGGTTGAGACAAGTAAAAAAACAATGAAACATACTGTTCATATTATGTCATTTTAATTTGTTCACTGATTTTTTTTCCCCGTTATAAATCTGTCACTCCACACATTGCAAAGGTTATGTCTTTTGTGGTTGCTTCAGGTAAATGGTGTCTTTGTTTCCTAGTTTCTGTTGATGCTTCAAGTTTCTCCTTTCCTATGGTATATACACATTTCTTTTCCAAGTACTCATCAAGGAGAGATGAATATCTGGTTGACCTTTACATATTCATGTTTAAAATGTGTTGATTATCTGCAATGCATACAGCATTGTGAGGGATTAGAGCTACATAAAATCTGAGGGATGCTGACAGTATCAGCATGAGAAGCTTTCACAGTCAGGTGGACCAACAAGCTAAGATTTGGTCTGAAAAAAAGCAGCATTTGAAGGTTTGAGATACTTGAAGGTTTGAGATTGAAAGCTCAGGATCATAACTTGATACACTTGAGATTTACAGATCTTTGAAGTTGAATTTAGGCTAACCACTAATAATTTCATCTGGAAGAAAGGAAGCATGTAGGACAAATAAAAGGAAGTATAATTGTAGAGGGATTTGTCTTTTCCCCTAGAAACAGTTCCACCTGAAATAAAAGAATGCAGTGTTAAAATATTTTAAATCTGTAGCCTTAAAATGGTTTAAATTCAAGAGGATAGATTGCTAAGATTTAAGAAAGAAAAGTAGGCATATTTGTGAACAAATTTCTAGTACTATTGAATAGAAATTTCATCAGTGATGAAAATGTACTATATTTCCATTGTCCAGGATACTAACTACGTGTGGCTAGTGAACATGGAGGACAGACTGAGGAAATGAATTTTTTTTTTGCTTCTGGGGATCAAAACCAGGGCTCTGTGCACACTAGGCAAGCCCTGTATCACTGAGCTATAGCCCCATACCAGAAACTGACTTTTAAATCTTATTTAATTTTTATTCTCCCCCCTTCTCTCTCCGTTTCTCTCCCTCTCTCCCTCCTTTTTCCTCTCCCTTCCTTCTTCCTCCCTCCCTCTCCCTCTTTCTTCCCCCCCTTCTCTCTTTTCAGTACTGGTGGTTGAATCCAAGGCCTTGAGCATGCTAGGTAAGCAATTTCCCACGGAGCTATAGCCTCAGCCCTAATTTTGTTAATTTTAGTTTTTTTTTTTTCCATAATTTAAATTGTTAGATTTTAATAGATTTTAAAGTTAATTTTAAAAACTTACATTATAAACAGTCTAGTATACTTTGGCAAATCACAAGCAGGTTTAGTCTGCAGAGTTTTGCTGTTATAAATTGAGATATTTTACCCAATTTATTTTTTTAACAAGGTCTTACTATGTAATTCAGGGTGGCCCCGAACTCACTATGTATTCTAGGCAATCCAAGGACTCATGCTGATCCTTCTGCCTCAGCCTCCTGAGTGCTGGGGTTACAGGTGTGTGCTACCATGCCTGCCTACCCAATTTTTTATGAAGACACAAAAGCAAATTTCATAGGCTTGTCATGTCCATCTGTTGGTGTGCTGTTATATTTTATGTCTTATTTCTCATGAGGTAAATATTTTTCTTTCCCTTTTTAAAATTAGTACATGTTTGTAGTACATTCTGATTACATTCACCGTGGGAAGTTGGAACGTGTATATATCTTTAATTCTCTAATTCTTTTTCTTCCTCTTCCCTTCCTATTAATTTTAGACCCACCAGTCCTTCCCTTGAGTGGTATTACTCCTCCTAGCCTTCTGAAGTTGATGTCGAAGATAGACAGTGTTTATCATTCACAAATGATTGATAAAATATTGCACAAGAAAGAGGACATTCATGAATCTGATCCAATAGGATAGTCTTTATACTTGGTAGTTGATAGGTTTCATTTTAGGGAAGCATTTATAATCTCAGGGTAATAGAGGGACAGAACATTTGTTTATAGTGTATAAGATACACAGGGTCTTGTAATTCACACTGTGCTATTACATTATGATGAGGAAAAGGAATTCAGAAAATAATGCAGAAAAGTTGTCTTCAGTCAGTTAAAAAAAAGTTTGATGGTGATTTATAGATAGATCTTGAGAAATTACTGTAAATGTAGCTTATTAATGAATCATAGTAGAAGAGGGAAATTTAAACCTCAAGGAGAAAATTAATAAAATGCAGTGGTTGTGCTAGTAAAGACATAGTGGGTGGACAATGGGGGAATCCAAGAGAAAACATTTGAAAAATTTAACAGTGAGAGGTAAGGAGAGAAGTGAGACAAAGAATCCTATTAAGGAGTAGAAGGATATTTAGAATTAAAATAACAGAATAAAACAAATGAGAAATAAATAAAAAGGGAGGAAAGCAGAAGAAAGAATATGGAGAATAAAAATGAGAAAAAAATTAAAAGAAAAGAAAGAAACAGGGAAGAAGGACAAAGGAAAATTCCCTGGGCCCCAATAAACTATGAAAGAGAAAAAAGAGTCGAAAAACAGAAAATTGTTTTTTCTCTGTATTTGTTTGTTTATTTGTTTGTTGGTTTGTTTGAGACAGGGTCTCGCTATGTAATTGAAACTGACCTGGAACTCACTATGTAGCCAGGCTGGTCTCAAACTCACAGTGATCCTCCTGCCTCAGCCTCCCGAGTGCTGGGATTACAGGTGTGCGCCACCACACCTGGCTAATTTTTCTCTGTATTTTGAATGCATTTTCCCCCCTCTGGATTTGCAGTTTTGTATTCCAGCAATTCATGGTTTTCTCCATCTAGCCTTACAACCTGTAGATTTGCCTCTATTCCAGGGGCCCTTTTGTTTACACCAGGCTGTGGCAATTCCCAAGCATATACATGTTCGTGCTAGTTCTGATAAATAAGGAAGGTAAGCAGAATGCAGTTCCATGCTAGATGCAAACAGTAGGGTAAGGGCTCAGATACTCAATTCGGCACTTTCAGACCCAGTGTAACTCAAGCTGGGCCTTTCCTTCCTTTGTAGGGGTGGAGGTGGGGCTCATGATTTCCAGCAGGAGCTCTGACCCCTCTGGGGGTCTGTTTTTAGCCCACTCCCTGACTGTGTCCTGTGGCTGTCTCTCACCCAGTCACTGAGAGGAAACACTGGGAACTCTGAAGTGAGGCCATCCCCCAGCTGTTCTGAGTCCCAGCTTCAGTCACCCCTTCCTAGAACGGCTCCTGACCGAGCACTCCAGCATTATGGTCCGTGCTTGTGCTAAGATCCCTATTCAGTTGTTGCCTGCCATGTGAAGGAAGTCTCCCTAGAGTAAAACTCCTCACTGTTCCTGCAGATCCCAACAACTGTATTCCCCCTGGAGCCCACTTCGCCGGCTCAGCCTGCTGCTGCTGTTTTTCTCTGGAGCCCTCAGTGGTCACCTTGCTTCTTGGGAGCTGGAGGGAGTTCAGACTGTTTGATTTTGTTCTCTGCATTATGGTCTGCCTCAAAAATTTACTTGTTAGCTTTTAATTTTTCTGTCATTTCCTTCCCAATTCCTAGCAGTCTTCTGATTTTCCTTCCTCAAGTTGTTATTTTCCAGGATCTGGATTCCGGGTCTCAGAGAGGCTGAATTTTGGTGCCACTCACCACTTCACCATCTTAATTCTCCACTCACCACTTCACCATCTTAATTCTCCTGAGTATCTCTTTTTTTTTTACCCAGTTTTAGAGTGAAAGATACTGTCCCTGCCCACATGGGGCTTACATTTTATTGTTGGAGGTATATATGTATAAGAACTAATATAAAATAACCATTAATTATGCAGAGTATTGCAAGGAAGTGCATTTATAAGACGTGAGACTTACAGTAGGGTTGAAGGGCTAGGGAATATCCTCAGGGGACACTAAAAGAAGTGACATTAAAGCTGCACCTTGAATAGAGGGGAGAAGAGAACTAAGTGCGGGATGCTGCTTTCTTTAACTGTGATCCACCACTTAGGCAAGTTTAGGAGGTAGGCACTGTGGCCAGACACCTGAAGTCTCAACTGCTTGGAGGACCACATGAGTGTAGGAGTTTGAGGCCAGCCTGGACAGTATACTGTAGCAAGACTCTATCTCAAAAATAAAAGTGTGTATGTTAACCTAGTACAGCAGTGGTACAATCTTTCACACACAACTGAAACAAACATTTCCTAAAATAATATTTTTATTAGGTGCCATACACTCTTTAATATCTGTATTATTTCTAAAAATGCTGGTTGTGGTCTGGGGATTTAGCTCAGTGGTTCCGCTGCCTGCCTTGAAAGTGCAAGGTCCTGTGTTTGATGCTAGTTGTGATCCATGAACTTTGCAGACTATCTTTGGATTATGATCTTCAGTTTGAAGAACACTGCTATAAAGCATTTTGGACAGAGGGAACAGCATGTGTCAAGCACATGTTGAGTAAAATTTTAGCCAGTAGTTGTTGGATTGGTATCTGAGAGATCCAGAAAGTACTCGGAAACAGTGTGGCATCATACAAAGGAGAAAAAAGTTGGAGATAATGGAGTAATAATGGGATGGTATGGATTGACTGACCATCTGGTGAAAAGCTAAAAGGGGCAGTGTTTTCTTTTTGTTGTTGTTGTTTTTGTTGGGGTACCGTGGATCAAACTCCAGCCCTTGCAAGGCAGGCTGTGGAACAACTGAGCCAAAAACATGGCCCAACTGTGTTTTCTTGTTTGATCTTATGTAGATACATCCCTGAGGAAAATCTTAAGCTGTGGTTGTGAAAGCTGCCAGTAGTTGTTGGATTGGTATCTGAGAGATCCAGAAAGTACTCGGAAACAGTGTGGCATCATACAAAGGAGAAAAAAGTTGGAGATAATGGAGTAATAATGGGATGGTATGGATTGACTGACCATCTGGTGAAAAGCTAAAAGGGGCAGTGTTTTCTTTTTGTTGTTGTTGTTTTTGCTTTGGGGGTACCGTGGATCAAACTCCAGCCCTTGCAAGGCAGGCTGTGGAACCACTGAGCCAAAAACATGGCCCAACTGTGTTTTCTTGTTTGATCTTATGTAGATACATCCCTGAGGAAAATCTTAAGCTGTGGCTTTGTGAAAGCTGAAGTGATACTCTGGTCTCACTTGCCATTAAAATAGCCTCTTTCTGTTTAGCTTCCTCATAAGCTTTCTTTTGAAAACCGCTATTGTAGCTCATGTCAGCCTTCCTCAAAAATCTGTTTTAGAAGTTGAGGTTATTTGCTGCAAAATTATAATTGTATGTTTTCACTTACTTTTTAGCTGTATTATAGTATAAGAAAAATTAGTTTTTTCTGAACTAAAATGTCATCATTGTCATTATTACTTTGGTGGTGTTGGGAATTGAACCCAGCGCCTTATGTATGCTAGGTGAGAGCTCTACCTCTCAACTACATCCCCAGCCCAAAAACTTCCTTTATAATATTACATTATGTTGAAATACTATAATGTGTTTAAGTATATTTTTATTATTATTTTGTCATTAAAAATATACTAATATATGTGCCTTTGTTCATGTAAATATTATTTTAATCTTTTTTGTTTTTTTGAAACAGAGTCTCACTGTGTAGTTGAGACTGACCTGGAACTCACTATGTAGCCCAGGCTGGTCTCAAACTCAGAGCGATTCTCCTGCCTCAGCTTCCCGAGTGCTGGGATTATAGGCGTGCGCCACCACACCTGGCAATATTATTTTAATTTTAAAAGTTCATATTAGAATTTAAAGATGGTAACTGTTGATATTGATACTAAACTTCTTCCTATAGGGATTGATTTAAAAGAAGAATCATGTGAAAGTACTTTTTATCTTACATAGTTTCTTGGGTATTAGTATTTATAGTATCTTAGTTTTTTTGGTTACAGATCTGCTTTCTTTTCTTTTTTTTTCCTCTGGTACCAGAGATTGGACTCAGGACATTGCACTTAGAAGGCAGATGTGGCTGCTTTGTTTTCTAAGTGTAGATGTTTTCATTATTCACAAATACATTTTCTTATTTCTTATGCTACTTGAGTTTTCATTTGTGAATCCTTTTTTATTTTTCATATATTTTGCCCACTAGTTAGCTGTTTAAGATCAGTGTTCTTTCCATTTGTCTTGACTACATGATGAAAATGTTAGTTTTCTTTCAGAAATGTATTCTATGCTTTTGATATGCTTTTTACTTTAAAAGTTATAATTAGCCTTATGACTTCCTTTGTTTACCAGATTATGTTTTGATGTCTTATATATCATTTCTCATATGTATCCTTAACTAAATGCTGTAGTGCAAAATATGATCTTATATTAGATGAGCAGGCAGAAGATTCAAAATCAAGTCACTCACACACAAGTAAAAAACACAAGAAAAAAACACGACACTGCTCTGAAGAAAAGGAAGATGAAGACTATATGCCAATCAAAAATACTAACCAGGTATTTCTAATGTCCAGACTTAGATATGGTGAAGTAAATACAGTGGCACCTTGGTTCATGAGCTTAACTTGTTCTACGATTTTGGAAAAGATGACCATGTTTGTGTTAGTGTGGGAAGGATGGCCATGGTCATGTTTGTCATCCAATGCACAGTTGGCAAACAAAAACAAAATTTTTCCAAATGCTTCTGTTTGCGAATCAAATTGTTTGCCAAACAAAAGTGTTCATGAACTGAGGTTCCACTATATGTTGTTCCTTTTAAAATTACATCCTGGTGCTATAATTTAGAAAGTAATAGATTGTTCTGAATAGGGATAGGTATGTAGTTCCTAGCTCTAAAATGTAGAATGATTGTGTGTGGTAATGGGCTTTCATTTTCAAGAATATGTATCACAAGTTATAAAAGATTGTTTTAACAGTGACTTAATATATATTTCTGTGTTGTTAAGCAAGAGCATTTTCCATACCTGTGTCTACTCATTTATTCCTATCCAAAACAAGTGTGGCTGTGATAGCGAAATGCTTCTTAGTTATCCAAAAGTGTTCTCTACATAGCGCTTGCAGCCCTAGAGGTTTTATAGCCTGTGAAACATTTATGTCCTTCCATGTTGTGCATATGAAATAAAACTGCACTAATAATTCACTTGATCATCCCAAAGCTATCCTGAATGAATTATTTTCTAATAATGAAAATGAAAGTTCATTGGAGAAAATTGACTATAATGAAGTCATTTCTATCCTGTCTTCTCTCTCTTGGTTAAGTGAAAAGCAAATTACGTGTCAGCCTCTTGCTCTTGTTTTAGCACATGGAAGACATGTGAACTAGGCCCTAGGGTGAGGATTTCAGCAGGCTGAGGTGATTAGAGTGAGTGCCACAATGATGGTGCACACAAAGAACCTATCTTATACTCCTGTTTCTTCTCCCTTTTCTTCTTTCCCCTGTAAGTAACTGTTTTTCATATTTTATAGTTTATCTTCATTTGAAAAATTTTCAGTAAATATATATTTGGTGAATATTCCTGTATCCTGGGTAGTGTACATTCCTACCCTTTGCTGTTGCCTAGCAGAAGCATAGTCTCTTTTCTTTCCATAGCCCATTAGCTGTTTAAAGATTGCCGTCACTCATGCCCTGTTCCAGTTGTAAGATATGCCGTTGTCTGTTCCTTTCAGTATTCCTCATAGGAATCAGTATAGTATGAGCAGTAGTAACTGATATCTGTATTGCCTTTGTAATGTGAGGTAATTTCTTTTATCCTCATTGCACGATAGAGGACAGTGAAAGTGAAAGATTGTTACTAGCCCGTGGTTTTACACAAGTAGTAAATAATGGAAGCAGACTTTAGATCAAATTTGTACTCCTAACTGCACTACTGCTGTTCTTACCCAGAATATATTCCTCTCAGTTTTCTTTCCTCAGTTGTGTTACTCTTTCAAGAATAATTTGCCCATAGTGCTGTTTCAGTGTGATATAACAGAAATGTCTCCTTCCTCTTAATTTCTGTACTTAGCCCAAGATCACCCCAGACTTTTAAAATCGTAATTATATCACATTCTTAGGAATTTTTTAGCACTCTTTCCACTAAAAACCTTGATCTTCTCCCTACCCAAATATGTGCTGGTTTTAGCTGGAGCTTTTTTATTTTAGCTAGAGCTTTTCATCCTGAAATTGTACATGGACTCTTCAATGAATTGAGGCCTGAGATAAACATTGCTGTGTGTGAGATGATCTAGAGGTCTTAAAAAAGGAAGGGCCGGGGATTTAGCTCAGCGGTTCGGTGTCCTTCCTGCCTTGCAAGCACAAGGACCCAAGTTCCATCCCCGGTACCAAAAAAGGAAAGACTGACTACATTTGAAATCTGTCCCCGCTCACTTTTATAAATCTTTTGATTCTGCTGTTAATGATTGCTTAAGGCCTTATAGTGGCAGATACCCTCTTTTGGCACCACGTTTTTTATGGGGAGGAATGCTGTTAGGTGCTCCTTTTTTTTTTTGTTTTTTTGAGATAGGGTCTCACTATGTAGTTGAGACTGACCTGGAACTCACTATGTAGCCCAGGCTGGTCTTGAACTCACAGTGATCCTCCTGCCTCAGCCTCCCAAGTGCTGGGATTACAGGCGTGTGCCACCATGCTCAGCAGGTGTTGCTTCTTTATTTTTATTTATTTTTTATTTTTTGCCAGCACTGGGAGTTGAACCCAGATCCTATCTAAGCAAGCGCTCTACCATTGAGCCCTTTGGCTCTTTTATATTTTGTATTTTGAGACTTACTAAGTTGCCAAGGGTGGCCTCAAATTTGTAACCCACCTGCCTCAGCCTGAGTAGTTGGAATTATAGGAGTGTACCATCACGCTCAACTTGCTGTTGGCATTTTAAAAAGAATTTTAAGGGAGTTGGTAACTATAAAATTGCTCAATTCTGAATAATAATCTCCTAACTCACTTCTTTTCTGTCAGGGTATTCAAACATTTTTTGCTGTTATACTTTGATTTAATAATATAGCTATATTAGTTTTCTCATTATTTTTGTAGCAAAACTCACCATCACTATTTTTCATTTCAGTCTGAAAGATGTAATAATGAAAGAGAATTTGTTCAGATATATCTCAAATTTTCCCGTTTGTTGGTATTTTGCTGAGTGAGTACAACTTCCCAAGAGTGTTCTAACTTATTTTTTCAAATTGTTTTTTATTGAACAGCCTTATTATTAAATTTGAATTTTTTTTTAAGTTTTTCCATTTCATGCCTTAATTCCAAAAATGGTTTTTGTGTTGTTGAAGTTTGGGTTTTACTGGGGTTACAGGAAATGAGGTTGCCTGGCTGAGAAATACCCATACTGGGTGTCAGTTCTCCACTGATGTTTTTGTAGTGTGTGTATATCCTTGCAATTTGGCACTCTATTTTTGTTGTGATTTAAAAGATTTAATATTTTAGTGATTTAAATGTAATTGAATATTTTATTTAATTCCAGAGAGCTGAGCAAGCCTAGCTTTTAGTTTTTTTTGTGTGTTTTTTGGTACTGGGTATTGAACTACGGTCCTTGCGCTTGCAAGGCAGGCTACCGAACCTCTGAGCTAGATCCCCGGCACCTAGCTTTTAGTTTTATTAGGGATATTTTGACTACTTTATTTTGCTGTATTATGTTGATTGGTTTAAATTGGCCTGTGTGTGTGTGGATTTCATTTCCCTTTCTGGCCATCTTGTTTCATGTCTTAAATGTATAAAATTTAAAAATCTATAATACCAAGGATTTTAATGCTCATCTTATTGATTTTCTTCACTTTAGATATGAAGAAATTCTACAAATTCTAAGCTTTATAATTAGGGGGACCTAGAACTTTGTTTTAGTTCAGTCAGGTTTTGTTTTCTTTTCCCTTTATAATTTTTTTTTTTTTTGGAGGGGTTGAGACAGAGTCTCACTATGTAGTTGAGACTGACCTGGAATTCACTGTGTAGCCCAGGCTGGTCTCGAACTTACAGTGATCCTCCTGCCTCAGCCTCCCAAATTCTGGGATTATAGGCGTGTGCCACCACGCCTGGCCCTTTCCTTTACCATCTTTACTTTTTCAGTTTTGTATGTCAAGTTACAAATTAATTTAATAATTATTTCCAACCTGTGTAGATATCATAAGTCTCATTCTCTTTGCTTCTAATATGAGGATAATAATGTACTCCTGAAATGCTTAGCACTCTATTAGCACATAGAGGGTCTGCTTTGATGTGACTTCCTCCAGCCACCTAAACTTTTTTCCTGCGTACACACAGTGCTGATTCCTCCTTGCTTTCCAGTTCTCATTTACACTACTTTACATCAACCTTTTTTTTTTGTAGCCAGTTCAAACCCACCTCTTCACCCCATTTGGGCTCACTTCAAATCTTTTTTTTTTTGTAGCCAGTTCAAACCCAAACCTATTCACCATTTGGGCTCACTTCAAATCCTAACTTCTTAAAACTAATACATGTAACTTCAAGAGTACTTTTCTTATTTTCTGTCTCCTTTTTTTGTTTTGTTTTTTTTTTTGGTACCAGGGATTGAACTTGGGACCTTGTATTTGTGAGGCAGGCAGCAGAACCACTGAGCTAAATCCCCAGCCCTTCAAGAGTACTTTTCACATATCTCCAAAATGGCAAAGACCATTTGAATCTAGATCTGCCTGATGTGAAAGCTTGTTTAGCTTTGAAAACTACTCCAAGCAGAAGTAGTTTGAAAATTTCAGTCCCTTGCAGATCTTTAGCTTCCTCCATTTTTCAAAGAATTAAATATTTCATAACTTCTTTTTCCATTGGGTGCTAGAATCAAACCCAGGGCCTCACATATGCTAGGCATGTATTCTACCACTGCACTATATTCCCAATCCCATAGTTTTTTTTTTCTCTTTTATTTTAACCATTCATAGCACTTAAGTGCCTATTTGTATAATATACTGAGGATTTTATGAAGTAATTTGGGTAAAACCAGAGCCTTAATTATGAGTATCACTCTGTATTTTAATCCTTTGACACTTATGCCTACTATAATAGTGTCTGTAGTGATAGAGTAGAAGTATTTGGGAGTAGAGTCTTCAGAATATTGCCTTTACTTTGAACAATTTTTAAAGGAAGTTAAATTTTACAAACTGTTGAAAGAGGATTAGAACTGGTTATTTTAGATTTCAGCCATTCACTAAGATACTTGTTTTATTAAGAATAGGAAAAAAAAAAAAAGAATAGGACACAAACAGAACCCTCTTCCATGGGAAAATGACTACTACTTAATTGCTAAGAATAGATTTAAATACAACCATTGTATTGTCTGGGGGCAACGGATTATTCCAATGTTTCTTAACTAATAGTTTTAAGAAATATGTAAGTAATAATATTAATAAAAACATATCAGCCTAGTCTAAACATACAAAATGTATTTGGAGATTTAGAGAGGAGCAGTTAGGAAATAAAACCCTTTAAAAATTAAACTGGGCTAAAGACAGCATGCTCATTAGCATGTGCAAAGCACTGGGTTCAGTCCTCAAAATAAAAAATTGTCAAAAATTATTTGTCTGTGTCAACTTATGCAGAATGTTTTCTTTTCATTTTAGACTGATTGTCTTATCTAATACCTCTGCCTGCTGTGCTGTTTATATGATATCTTCTTTAAGGATTATTGTGGTGATTTTAGCAGTTTTATTGTAAATCAGTATGGGATCACATTTTTGGGGAGTGGAGCAAAGGAAGTAGAACTGTGACGAAAATAATCAGAATTTCTGATGTCATAACATCATAGACTTGCTCTAATTTTGGTTGGACTCTTTCAGTTCTACGAGGTACTAATCCCTCAGTTCAACTAAAATAGATGAAAAACAGATTGATAAGAAAAATAGTTAAATTTTTTGTAATTACTTTGCTTTTTTATTCATGAGATTCTTAACATTAATGGTCTTATTCAAATTTGAGCTGTTAGGACAGGTTGTTAATGGTGGACTTTAGGTTTTATTTAATTGACAGTGTCCACAAAGTATGTATGTATGTATGTATGTATGTATGTATGTATGTATGTATTGCAGGACCAGGGATCGAACTCAGAACCTTGTGCTTCTAAGGCAGGCACAGTGCCACTAAGCTAAATTCCCAGCCTTGTATTTATTTTATACTTTTGTGGCGGGAGTACCGGAGATCGAACTTGGGACCTTACGCCTGCAAGGCAAGCGGTGGAACCACCGAGCTAAGTCCCCGGCCTTATTTTATAGACTCTTAACTCTCTCTGCATTTCTTTGACAGGATATCTACAGGGAAATGGGATTTGGTCACTATGAAGAAGAAAGCTCTTGGGAGAAACAAAAAAGTGAAAAGAGAGACCGACCTGAAAACCGAAGTCGTAGCCGATCTCGAGAAAGAGATGGGCACTACAGTAATAGTCACAAATCCAGATACCAAACTGATGCTTATGAAAGAGAAAGGAGTAAAAAGAGAGACCGAAGCAGAAGTCCAAAGAAGTCCAAAGACAAATCCAAGTACAGATAAAAGTTGAACTAGAAATGAGTGGTTAACATATTTACTCCTGCCTAATTTAGAGTACCAGCAGAGCAGATTAGATTTTGTGTCAGAGAAGTTAAAGACTCTATTTGTTATATTTTTTTTTCATACTAAGATTTTGGCCCTTATTTAAGATTAATACTGATAATATAGGGCACTGAATGATAAAGAATTGAACATTTTCTGTGTATTTTTTTTACACATTATTTACGTAAATGGTAATATTCATTTTCAGTGTCTTTCACATTTAGACTCTTGTTTTTTAAATGAAGCATTTCTTACTGCAAGAATGCATAAATCTGTATATGTAAGTTTTAAAGAATAATAAATATGAATGTCGGTGTATTAATCAGCCAGCTTAAGAACCAGAACAAGTCCTATATTTCAGGAGCCCTGTATATGCCCTTTCTCCCACGTAATTATTATTCTGTTTTGTCATTCTCTTGCTTGTGGTCTTATAGCTTTTGTATGTATCCTTAAATGAAATGTTAATTTTGTATGTTTTTGAATTTTATATAAGTGGCATAATGTATGTTTACTTCTGTGGCTTTCTTTTTTCAGTTTAATATTTTTAAGACTCATTGATTTTTATTTCTGTAATTTATCCATTTTGTTGATGGTCATTTGGGTTTCGTATGTTTTTGTATTTGCTGTTGCAAACAGTGCTGCTATATGAACATCCTCTATCTAAGGGTGATACTGCTTGATCATGTGATTTGAGTTTCTTTATCTTTACAAAGTGTTTCCAAATTATATCTAAAGTGGCTGTGCCAATTTATACCTTTATCAGCACTGTTTTTCACTGTTACCCTTGTTTCATATTTCCAACTATCGTTAATTTCAGACTTTAAAAGTTTTACCAACCTAGTGAATGTTAAGTGGTATCTTATTGTGACTTCCAGAGAGAAAAGTACTATTCTTTTTATTTATATGTAGTTACCATTTTCTTTAGGCTTCTCTTTAGGTGTTCTTTTTTTCAGATTCTGATTTTTTTTGGGGGGAAATACGGGGGATTGAACTTGGGTCCTTGCGCTTGCAAGGCAGGCCACGGAGCCGCTGAGCTAAATCCCCGGCCCCAGATTCTGATTTTGATATGCTCATTGTAGTTTTTTCCTGCTACAGCTGTTTACCTGTGAGTTTATTCATCAAATTTGGAAATTTGAGGCATTATTTGTTCATTCCTGTTTGTTGCTGGGCTCTTCTCCCACCTCTCCAGGGGCTCCAGTTACTTGTATGTTAGGTCATAGCATAATTTACAATGTGTAAAAATAGACCTAATATGATTGCTAAGTCATAATCACAGTTGTCCCATAGCACACCATGTGCTGCTCTTTTCTTTTTTTTAAGTCTTTTTTTTTTCTGTTTTTCATGTTAGATAGTTTCCATTGCTGTGTTCTCATGTTCCTTAATCTTTTCTTCTGAAGTACCTAATCTCATTGTCATCCTACCTCAGACATGTTTTAGAAGTTCCATTTGGGTCTTTTTCTGTCTTCCATCTGTACTCCTTAATGTACTTATTTATTCTGTCTTCTGTTTTTTGGGGTACATCTATAGGATATTTCTGATAGCTGTTTTCTCTTTTTGTTTGTTTGTTTGGTTTTTTTTTTTTGTTTTTTTGAGACAGGGTCTCACTATGTAGTTGAGACTGACCTGGAACTCACTATGTAGCCCTGGCTGGTCTCGAACTCATAGCGATTCTCCTGCCTCAGCTTCCTGAGTGCTGGGATTACAGGTGTGTGCCACCACTCCCGGCTTCTGATAGCTGTTTTTAATGTCTTATTCATTCTGTCATCTGTATCATTTATGGCCTGATTCTGTTGTTTGGTTCCTACCCAACTCTCACTGCCACCCCAATTTTGGGCTGTTATTCTGCAATAATTGCATAATATCCTCTGCTGTTTATTTCCTGTAACAAGAGATTGGATCTAGATGTTTGGCTAGAGGAACATTATACATTTTAGGCAGGAAATTTTTAATTTCGAATCTAATTAGCCTTTCCTTCTGTTTTATATTCTGTTTAAGAAATATACTGGGGCTGGGGGTATAACTCAGTGATAGTGTGTTTGCTTAGAATATACAAGTTTCCGGATTTGCTCCTCAATGCCACCCCCAAAAAAAAGTAAAAAAAAAAAAAGAAATTACCTGTTGTGAGGTAATAAAGGCAGTCTATATTCTAAACATTATAAAGCTTTGCAATTTTACATTTAAATCTTTAATCCACGTTGACTGATATAAATGTATATAGTATAATAAAGGGATCCAAATTCACTCTTTAAGCATTGTTTAAATGCACATAACCAGTTGTCCAAAGTCTATTATTGAAAGATTAGTCCTTTCTCTATTGATCTACAGTTACCCTTATTATATATAAGCGTCTGTATATGTGTAGGTTTTATTGTGCTTTTTCTTCCGTTGGTTTATTGTCTGAGCCAGTGCCAATACCAAACACAAGTATTTCTATGGCTTTAGAGGAAGTCTTGATCTTTAAACAAGTTCCGCCACCTGTTCCATTGCTAGGAGTGACTTAGCTCTTTGTTCTATGTAACTTTGGAACCAACTTGTCTGCCAAAGGATTTTTCTTGGGACTTTAATTGCATTAGTAATGAAACATCACTTTGAGGAAGAAAAAACTTTCATAATATTGAATCTTACTATTTGTTAAGCTAGCATATTTCTCTATTTAGTTCTGATTTTTCTAATAAAGCTTTTGAATAATTTTGGTTGGATTTATTTTTAGTTTCTGTGTGTTGTCAGTGGTGTCTTTATTTTATTTTATTGGTACCAGGGATTGAACTTGGGACCTTGTGCATGTGAGGCAGGTGGCAGAACCACTGAGCTAAATCCTGTCCACTGTCTTTTAAAATAATTGCTGCCCTCAGAAGTTACATTACAACTGTTAAATTCAACCATTTTTGCTAAGGGTGTGTGTGTGTGTGTGTGTGTAAGAGAGACAGATGGAGAGAGGGAGAGACAGACTGGGAATTGAACTCAAGAACCTCGTGCATGTTAGGCAAGTACCCTAGCACTGAGCTATACCTGCCATCCTTTTTCCTTGTTTGTTTTGTATGAGGTACCTGGGCTGCCTCTCAGTTCACGATCTTGACACAGCATCTTGATAGCCAAGGTTATAAGCTTGTGGCATTGTGCCTAGCTATTTTGTTAATCTTTCATGTACATTTGAAATTCGTAGAGTTTTAGATATTTTATGTGGTCAATAATATCTATAAATTGTATTTTTTTCTTTTCTGATTAGTTTTTAATTAAAATATGTACATATCTCAATGAGGAAAAAAGTCTGTACATATTACAGTGCTGGCTGGCTGAAATTTCTAAGTGTTGAATATTAATTTCTAATGATATTAGCTGGTTATAGTCTCTAGCACAGTGATGAAACTGACATGTGATTTTTCTTTTTTGTATTGCCTTTGATAACTAGGTTATACAATAAATTGGGGGATAGCTCCCCCTACCCCAGAAAATAAAAAAAATTTAAATTATCTGTACTTTAAAAGTTGGATAGAGCTTGCCTGCTTAATTGGCTGGACATTTTATTTCTTTTTCTGAAAAGAATTCTTAAATATTGATTAGATTTCAGTGATCATAAAATTATTAGCATTTTTATTAGTCATTTTGGTTATTCCATTTTTCTGGGAATTTGTCATTTTTATTGTAGCTTTTTATTTTATTTGTTTTTTTGGTTTTTTGAGACAGGGTCTCACTGTGTAGTTGAGACTGACCTGGAGCTCACTATGTAGCTCAGGCTGGTCTCGAACTCACAGCGATCCTCCTGCCTCACCCTCCCGAGTGCTGGGATTACAGGTGTGAGTCACCACACCCGGCCATTGTAGCTTTTTATTGACAAGAGTTGCTCATATAGTTCAGTAGTTTTTTTTTTTTAAACTCTCTTTTCTTTCACTTTATAGATGTCCTTACATGTTAATGTGCCTTATAAACTATGTAATTGGATTAGTTTTTAAATTTAACTGCTGAGTTCATTTCTTTTTAATGACTACTGAAGTACTTGAATTTGTTTTTGTCATCTTATTTTGTGCTCTTTCTGTGGTCCTCCTTCCCCTCTGTTTCTTTTGGATTACTTTAGAAATTTTTTGAATTCCACCCTTTTTTTTTTCATTTGGGGGAATTTTCTTTGAAGTTTAGTGTCTACACTTCAAGTATCTTTTTAATATTTTCACCTCTTTATATCTCATTTTTTTGTGCACCCAATCACCCAATATTTTAGTCTTAGCTTGTGATTTTTAACCTTAAAATTAGATCCTGTGGATATTGCTGTTTTCATAAATTGTTTAGATTTATTCACTATTCTTTTTGCATCTCAGGCCTCTTGCATAGGATAATTTTCCTTTGTTATGCCATTTGATGCATAATTTATTGATGGTAAACAAGGAAGTTTTTGTCAACAATGTTTTTGATTCACCCATGTTCTTTAAAATTGATTTTCTCTATATCCATTTTTAATTTGACACATTTTTTTTCCCTGATACTTTAAATATATCTTTTTCCTGTCTTGACTTTTTTATTGTGGAGAAATCTGTTCTCATTCTAAATGTCATTCTTTTGGATGTAATGTGACTTTCTGTGGCTGCTTTTTTGTTAGTTAAATTTTTAATTTTGAACATAATCGTAGATTCCCATGCAATTTTAAGAAAGTATGGAGAGATCTTATGTACTGTTTACCAAGCTTCTCTCAGAGTGACACGTTGCAAACTCTGGTACTGTATCACAATCAGGATGTTAGCATTGACACAATGAGGATACCGAACATTCCAAGGACCCTTCATGTTGCCCTTTCGTAACCACAGCTTCTTCCCTGCCTTTTCACTTTCCTCCCCAACCCTGGCAACCATTTACTTGTTTTCCATTCAAATAAGTTTGTCATTTAAAAAATTTTATTTATTTTTTGTGGTACTGGGGATTGAACTCAGGACCTTGATCTTGCAAGGCAGTCAGTAGAACCACTGAGCTAAATCCCTGGCCCCCTCAAGAATTTTATATAAATGGAATTATGTAATATATAGAGTCCTTTGGGATTGTCCCACACCCTCAATTCATCCAAATTCCATGGAGATTCTTCCAGATTGTTGCATATATTGACTTATTTCTATGGCTGACCAGGATTGTGTGGTATGAATGTACCATAGATTGTTTCATTTACCCAATGAAGGACATCTGGGTTGTTTATAGTTTGAAACTATAATAAAGCTGCTGTTGGTTTTGAATGAACAGAATCTTAATTTTTCTTGGACAACTGCCTAGAAGTACAATTGCTAGGTCACATGATTTAAAAAAAATATATATATATATATTTGCTATATTGCCCAGGTTGGTCTTGAACTCCTGGGCTCAAGTGATTTTCCCATATCAGCTTCCCAAGTAACTGGGCCTACAGACCTGGCTGTATACTTAGATTTTTGTTTGCAGTGTTAGGGTTTGAACCCAGAGCCTTTGCACTGAGCTACATCTCCAGCCCTTTTTATTTATTTTTATTTTGAGATAATGTCTCACAGTTTGTCATCCTCCTGGTTCAGCTGGGATTTGCAGTCGTTACCACTGCACCAAACTGCGTA